CGGAGAACAATCTGGAAGGTCCGATCCCTAGCAGGCTTCTCATGTTGAAGAATCTGACTAACTTGTTTCTCTACGACAATGAACTCTCCGGCGAGATACCCAGACCCGTCGAAGCTTTGAACTTGGTTGAAATTGATCTTTGCATGAATAATTTAACGGGTACGATACCAGGAGAATTTGGGATGATGCAAAATCTTGTTTTCTTTAATCTGATGTCGAATCAGTTAACAGGGGAGATACCAGCCGGCATGGATCAACTTCCAGTTCTGAAGGTATTTGGAATTTGCGCAAACAAATTGAGTGGAGTCTTACCGCCAGAATTAGGCCTCCACTCAAAGCTCGAATATTTTGAGGTCTGCGACAATCAATTCACCGGTCAACTACCGGAGAATTTATGTGCCTGCGGTGTTCTACTGGGAGTGGTTGCGTTTTCAAACAATCTCAGCGGACAAATAACGGCGTCGCTCGGAAATTGCAGCACTCTCCTGACTGTTCATCTTTACAACAACCAGTTTTCAGGCGAGATTCCTCCAGGTCTCTGGACGACTGTCAATTTATCAGTTTTGTTACTGAGTAACAATTCATTTTCGGGGGAATTACCGAGCCAACTAGCAAGGAAGCTGTACATTTTGGAAATCAGCAATAACAAATTCTTCGGTCAAATCCCCGTCGGAATTGGCTCTTGGTCAAGTTTGATACTCTTCCAAGCAAATAACAATCTCTTATCCGGCCAAATACCGGCCGGAATTGGTTCGTTGTCAAGTTTGGCAGTCTTCGAGGCAAGTAACAATCTCTTATCCGGCCATATCCCGGTGGAAATAACACATCTTTCTCGCCTTTTTACTCTCCTCCTAGATGGAAATCAACTCTCCGGTGAATTACCATCGGATATAGCCCCTTGGAAATCGTTGACTACCTTGGACCTGTCCGGAAACAAAATTTCCGGTCAAATCCCGGTAGCAATTGGGTCTTTACCTAACCTCCTCAACCTGGATTTATCAGAAAACCAAATTTCCGGAAGAATCCCAGCAAGCCTTGGCAACCTGAAGCTCGCATCACTCAACTTATCATCCAACAAACTTTCCGAGAAAATCCCAGATGAGTTTGATAACCTTGCTTACGAAAACAGTTTCTTGAACAATTCCAATCTCTGTGCACATACTCCAATTCTAAAGCTTCCAGATTGCAGCTCCAAACCCAGAAAACTGATCTCTAGATGTCTTCCAGTGATTTTGTCTCTGGCGGTTTTTGTCATCTTAGTTACTGTTGTAGTGAGCCTGTTCTTGATGAGAGACTACCAGAGAAAAAAACGAGGATGTAACATTGCAACATGGAAGCTAACTTCGTTCCACAGATTGGATTTCACAGAAGAGAACATCTTGTCCAATTTAACGGAAAATAATTTAATAGGAAGCGGTGGTGCCGGAAAAGTGTACAAGATTGCCATTAACGGGTCAGGCGGATTTGTAGCTGTGAAGAGAATTTGGAATAACAAGAAACAGGATGGTAAGTTGGAGAAAGAGTTCATAGCAGAAGTTGAAATTTTGGGCAGTATTCGCCATGCCAACATAGTGAAGCTGTTGTGTTGCATTTCGAGTGAGAAGTCGAAGCTTCTGGTGTACGAGTTCATGGAGAACCAAAGCCTGGATAGGTGGCTACATGGGAAGAAGAAAGGATACAGTAGTATCGGGCCGAATTCAGTTCACCACGTTGTACTGGACTGGCCAACAAGAATGCGAATTGCAATTGGAGCGGCTCAGGGGCTTCGCTACATGCACCATGACTGCTGTCCACCCATTGTTCATCGTGATGTTAAGTCTAGCAACATCTTGTTAGACTCGGAATTCAAGGCAAGAATTGCAGATTTTGGACTTGCAAAGACGCTAACTAGGCAGGGAGAACCTCACACCATGTCCGCCGTTGCAGGAACTTTTGGTTATCTTGCCCCAGGTAAGATCAATAGAGAGTTATCTGGATGTTCTGTAGTGAAATCTTTTTGCTTACTTGATATATATAATTCAGAATACGCATACACTACAAGGGTGAATGAAAAAATTGATGTCTATAGCTTTGGAGTGGTACTTCTGGAATTGGTGACGGGTAGAGAAGCCAACCGTGGAGATGAGCACAGGAACCTTGCACAATGGGCATGGCAGCATTACAATGAGGGAAGGCCTGTGGTTGAAATATTTGATCCGGAGATCACCGACCCTTGT